GTACATAAAATTATATATAAAAAAATTATAGAATTTTACGCAGCATCTAAAAATAAAGTAAAATATAGGGTGTTATATTTAAAAAAAACCTTGTTTTATCCGCCACACTTTTTTGCAGCACTCTGTATAGTCTATAACTATTTTAATATGTGTACCTTAACCTTCTCTATAACTTTTATATTTTTTTGTAAACCTCGAAAGAAATTAATTATATGATGGATATATTGATCTTTCCACTGCTCTTTCCGTAATTCTGATTTTACTTACTGTTTTCTTGGTTAATGTCAGGGTCTCCGCACCATACGTTTGGTTTGTTTTATTGTTTCTTCTATTAAGCTATACCGGGTGCGTCTCAAAAGTGGCTCACCCCCATAACTTTTTTATTTTTTTAGATAAAAAAACAATATTTGGTATGTTCGTATATGACAAAAAGTAGGATTGATTGACGTATTCAATTGTTTTTGGTCACTACCTGTTTCACCGGAAATGACTACAACTTTTGATTTTTAAATAGCACCCTCGGTATTTTTTTTACGTTATTCGATAGAAAATAACACTCTGAATAGAATGACATATCATATGTCAACTTTTTACATTTTTGCATATGGTTAATTTGAAATTATAACTTGCTGTTTGTAACGAAAATTTGACTCGAAATATCAAGTGTGTGGTATCAAATTATTCGTAAAAAATGCTTTTTTCAAATATGCTGATAAGCTACCCTCGTTCCATTTGAAAAAATTGAGATATGATCAAAAATACGATTTGATCATTTTCTAACTGGCCAGGATGAGCCACTAAAAACATTAGACGGTCCAATCTATTTTTCCAAGGCTCCTTGATTAAGAATTTGTGTTTTTAACATAGCTATGGAACTCTAGATTGAAATTTAAAATACGATTTTTTTAAATACGATTTCAAAAGTTGACATATGATAATTCATTCTATTTAGAATGTCATTTTTTATCGAATAAAGTAAAAAAATACCTAGGGTGCCATTTAAAAATCAAAAGTTGTAGTCATTTCCGGTGAAACAGGAAGTGACCAAAAACACTTGAATACGTCAATCAATCCTAATTTATGTCATATACTAGCATACCAAATCTCGTTTTTTATCTGAAAAAATAAAAAAGTTATAGGGGTAATATACACTTTTGAGATGCACCCGGTATAATAGAAACCATCCTTCCACTAAAAATCCGATACTCCAAAAAGACATCGAAACAAAAATGGGTTTCCCAAAAAAATCCTCCATTTTATTTTGCATTCAGAAACCTTTACTCCTGCAGCCTTCGAAACACGCTTAAAAAATCTATTTCGCCCACAATATTTCCCGGCGATGCATTTTTCATATTTCTTCGGGCGAGAAAAGTCTCTCTCGGCTTGCTCGCTGAAATATTCCGCTTTTTCGAATTTTCCACGGAAAATTGATATGCGTTATTACTTACGCGCACGTAAGGAAACGCGGGGAAATTTATTTCGGGCGACGAAAGAATACGGGAAAAGTTTCTTGGGCCGGAAGTCCGGTCTCGTCAACTGGAATAACCCCGAGAGTTTGCTGGTGGAGGTATTTAAAAGTTCTAAGGCTTTTTAAGATATTCTCTGATATAATTTATGTGTATATATATTATTTATAACATTAGGCGTATGTTACGACTGGTGTTATTATAAATCTGATATTCAGGGTGGTCCGAACTGTATTTCGGAAACTTTGGCAGCATTTTCTGCAGATAAAAATAAGTAAAAAAGTATGCTTATTTTCGGAGATAGGGGGTGTAAATGTTTCATTTTTATTTCGATTTTTTCCAAATAATTTCTGAACTAAAATAGATATTTGGATGAAAATTGGCGTCTGGGAGTTTTTTGACTTGAAAAATTTGATTTTGATGTCAATATGACTCCTATTTGTAGGGGGCGCCACCTACATGTTGTTTAACTGTTATGAAGAGCAATAACTTTTTGTCCGTACTTGTATAAAACTACTGAGTGAAAAAATATACATTTCCGTTACTTTTTACGTAAAAAATGTTTCTTGGTAAAAATGGCTACGAGCAACCGTTCTCAAGATATTTAGAATGGAAATAGTCAATACAAATGTCATTATTGACACAAAATAAACACGTTGAGTAGATAGTTATTTGACTGAAGTTTATTAAATTAAATTAATTATTAAAATATTTTTTTAAATTAATAGTGAATCTGCTGTTTTTTTCTGTGAAAAAATTATGATAAAGCAGTTTCTGTTGAACTTTTGGCACAAAAACATTTAAAATTTATGATTTCAGTCTAATAACTATTTAGTCAACATGTTTAATTTGTGTCAATGATGATAGGTCTAGATAATTTCAATTCCAAATATCTCGAAAACCATTACCCCTAGCAATTTTTACCAAGAGACCTTTTTTACCTCAAAAACATCGTAAATGTGTAATATTTTTTTACCAGTAGTTTTATACAGGTACGGACGAAAAATTATTACCTTTCAAACCAGTTAAAAATATATAGGTGGCGCCCTCTACATGTAGCAGTCAAATCAAAATCAAAGTTCTCATGTCAAAAAACTTCCAGACACCAATTTTCATCCAAATATTGACGTTACTTCAGAAATTATTTAGAAAAAACAAAATAAAAATGAAACTTCTACACCCTGTATCTCAGAATCTAAGCATTATAAGACATACATTTATACGATTTTTTTACTTACTTTTATCTGCAGAATATGGTGAAGTTTCCGAAATACAGTTCGGACCACCCTGTACGAAACATGAGACAGATAGCAGTATATTTTTAATAATTCTTTAGTTTCTTTTATTATCAACCATGGCGTATTAATAATTGTGATGTTTTAAGGATCCTTTATTAAATCTTATGAGGTAAACCATATCACATCATTTATAAATATACAGGATGTTTCATTTAAGGAAACATAACTTTATTCCATATCTTTAAAAATATACCTTTTGTAGAATAACAGACTACGCTACTGTATTCTACATATAAAGTTCTACAATAAACAGTTTTCACATTCTCGATAGCTTCAACAATAACAGAAATATAGGGAGTGTCCCAAATTGCAAAATATTTAAAAGGACCCTGTAGCTCAGACACGAAGAGGGCTATGAAAATTTTGTTTACAACATCTTCCGTTTGACAAAAAAGTGGGACAGATTTGTGTAAACCGCACTATTCTATCTTCACTAATAACGGACCATACCGTATGATTTTAATCAAAATGGGACACTCTGTGCATTCATACAAAATACAACAAAAAAACTTAATGTAGTATAAAAATAAACATAAAAGTTGCTCGATCAATTTAAAAAAAATCATACTTTTATATTTAATAATTCACAAACTAAATTGCAATACGTTTTTATTTGATTAAAATTGAACTAATCGGTGGTCGAGCTGTTCCAATAACAACGAACTTATGCACAAAACCGTAGAAATATTTTATATAATGGCGGAACAATATTCAATATTGGCAAAATTTACCCATAAACAAATATGCGTGCGTTTTACATTTACGCGAGATTTAAAAATTCGACATGCAAGCGGCAATTCAAAATTTTGCATTATTTAATAATAAATTGCAGTACAATAAAATATTATTTTTCAAAGAAATGAAAACGTTTTTAAATTACTGTAAGTTAATTTTTATAAAACTGTGTATTTTTTTCATTAGAAAATTTGGAATAAAATTTTATTCAAAATAAATGTTGCAGTTTACTTAATTTTATTTATCTATAATCAATCATACAGCTTAAACTTTGAATAAAAAGATTAATGAACAAGAAGTATAGTGCCATCCATGCATACTTGTATTAGAAACGGAATTTACATCACGAACATCCATTTTTGACAGTTATGTTTGACGTTTTAATTGACATGTCTGCTTTGTACAGCTATTAAATGCACCTTTCACAAGAATCGTCCGCGCGGATTATCGTGTGTACTTTTATGGTCTGAGGGTGTAATTTTACATGTGCTGTCAACAGGGTTGGGTAACGACGCGTAGAAAATGAATTTTCTACGTGTATGTAGCAAAGTGCGTAGAAAATGTGGAATATGTAGAATCTGAGAACAGGTAAAAAATTAATTTTGTATATTTAAAGCCGTTTTTTTCACTTTAGAGGTTTCTTCGTTTCACAACAGTCACTGTCACGCCTCCTCCCGTTGTACATATCAATATGAAATAATATGGAAGTTTATAGTTAAGTTTTTTGGCACACTATATACTGTTCATTTGTTAAATAATAAATAACAATTAGAGATATCATTATTACTTTATTTCTTGTACTAATCGTTGTGATTGAAGTATTTGAAATAAATATATACTCAAACAAAGCTATTCTACGTCTGGACATAAAAAAATGCAGAAAATTAGTTGGTGTAGAAAATTAATTTTCTACCTAGAAAATATAAAATGTTCCACCTACCCAACCCTGGCTGTCAATCTACGTGAAACCACGTTTTTAATCATATATAATCATATAGAGGTCCATCAAAGCAAGCAGTTGAAGGCTAGTTGGCCGTAGGTCGAAATATAATCCGAACGGATTATCCACTTCCATGTGAAAATATTCATATAAACTCATGGTACTTGTTTAACCAACGCTCCATGTGAAACAGTAGTTAGAGTTTTCATTTTTATCATTATTTGATGCAGTGAACTTTTTGGAGACTCTGGCCAAGTTAATATACCTGTGGGTTAATATAACTGTAAGTTCCCGAAAGTACCCTTGAACGAAAGTACCCACTGCCCTACCCTTGAAAGTACCCACTGCCTGGTATCTGAGTGTATTTTGAAAACATTCTTTAGTTTGCTAGGCATTAAAATTTTATTAAAATTTTTCTGATTTCTAAGTTTAGTGTACCTACAAAACATAATTATTACTTTCTGTAAAAAGGGCTTTCCTGTAAAATTAGTAAAATGGTGCTTATCATGTTTTTTCCCTGGACCCTTCAAATGTAATTAACTGTTTATTATTTTGTTTCAGAGAGGTGGCAGTGTGAGGGGAGAGGATTTGCCTTACATTCTGGGACTTCCCCTCATCGGTGGAGGTCCATTCTTTCCTCACAACTACAGTCACAGTGATATAGTAGTGTCAAAGACTTTAATACAGTACATTAGTAATTTCATAACAAAAGGGTAAGTCAAAATATATTTATTTTTTACTTGGGAAGATTACCAAGACTTCATATGAATATGAAACCAACAATACACCGAATCCTATTGATTTGTTGAATTGAATTGTTTTAATTGAAACATTTGAGGAAATTAATAAAGCTCATTTTTGAAAATTAATCTCAATGAACAAAAAAAAAATAAAAATACTGAAAAAAGAAATTTGTATCATGATATTACAAGTTATGATAAAACAGTTCTTGTGGTTTGAACGTCACACCAAGCTACACATTATTAAATACTAAATTGTTTTAAACCACCAGAACTAATATAATATACAAACAGATCCAAGAGAAATTTTAAATTTAGCAATATTCATACTAAATTTAACTGTTTTAATTAAACCGTTCCAGGAAATTCTCTTTAACCGTGTCCCACTATCTACAATTCTCTTTCACCCAGTCCTTCTTTAACATTGCTGCGTATGTGTACAGGGTGTCCCACTAAGAATAGCTATCGGCTGTATCTCGAAAAATATTAGTCGTAGGGCTTGCGGAAAAAATATTTAGAATTAAAGAGACCATGAGAAATTGCTGGAAATGATTTTTAAATTTGTAGAACCACCGCTAGAGGGCGTAATAATAGAAAATAAAAAAAAAGAATTTTTAAGAAATTTAGCCTAGATACAATGTACTATAAATAATAGCTTCGTAATCTACGGTAAATTTTGAATATTTTTTGTTAGAACTATTTACCTCTGCTAAAATAAAATGGTGGGGGAAGGTTAGATCTGTTTTTATTTAAATGTTAATAAATACGGATTAGATGATCGGAATCCAACAAATGAGAGCTCGTTTAAAAGAGCATTTCTTACTCTATATTATACCATATAAACAATAAAAATAAGCTTTTGAAAGCAAAAGGGCTAGTAATACCGTTTTAGAAAAATAAGGTAATGCTTATATTTTCGTATTTATTATAATTTTGCTAATAACTTTGAGTTGAAAAAAGATATCAAGATGCGGTTTTTGCTGACTTGTTAAGCTTTTATTACTCTTTACTATCAGTTAAAATTACATATACTATCGCGTTTGATTTTTTTGAAAAAACGCGCAATGTTTGTTAAATTGTAAGACAACGCCCCCTAGCGTCTACGTTCAAAAGCTTATTATTGTTGTTTATATGGTACAATATAGAGTAAGAAGCTCTCTTTTCAACAAGCCCTCGCTTGTTGGATTCCGATCATCCAGTCCGGAGTTATAAAAATTTAAATAAAAACAGATCTAACCACTCCCCACCACTTTATTTTGGCAGATAGGGGAAAATAGTTCTAACAAAAAATATTCAAAATTTACTGAAGATTATGAAGCTATTACTTATAGTACATCTTATCTAGGCAAAATTATGTAAAAACTCCATTTTCTTATTTTTTGTTGCAGTTGCGCCCCCATAGCGGTGGTTCTAGAAACTTGAAAATAATTTGCAGCAATTTTTCATAGTCTCTTTAATTATAATTTTTTTTACCGCTGGCCCTACGGCTAATACTTTTCGAGATACAGCCGAGAGCTATTCTTAGTGGGAAACCCGGTACAGTAAAAGAACTTAAAAAGAAAAAAATTACTAGCAACGACAATTTCGGGACGACCGGTATCCATCGATGCGACTATACTGTTTACTTGCCAAGGATTTAAACAATTTTTGTGCCGGCGTACTTGTTGAAATTGACACGTCGCGTCGGCGTCGCGTGTGCGCCACACTTGCCGATGTTGTTTACAAAGTGGGGACTGGTGGGGACACTTGCCAAGTACGCAAATATTGGCGTACTTGCCAAGTAGACGAGTCGTGAAAGTGCGCCTAAGAAGTGATTAAAAAAGAAACGTGTCTCATATATTTCTAAGTTATGATATCAAAATTATTATCAATGTCACATCGGGCTACACATTACTAAAACACTAAATTGTTCTAATTCTCCAGAACTAATATAATACACAAGCAAATCCGAGGAAAATTTTAATTTAGCAATATTCATACTAAATTTAACTGTCTTAATTAAACCGTCCCAGGAAATTCTCTTCAACCGTGTCCCACTATCTGTAATTCTCTTTCACCCAGTCCTTCTTTACAGTTGCCGCGTATGTGTATATGTCCTATCTCGCTCTGTCTCTGAGTCTTATTTTCCGGCGGTATTTCAGCAGACGACTGGGCCTGATATAAATGGTTATTTTGCACAGGACCTGGAAGGATATTAAATAAAAGAAAATCCTTACTGTTTCGAACAATGGCTTTGTCGAGATTATACTTCTTTCTTTGGATTTGAAGATATTTCTTAATATATATTTTTGGTTAGAAAAGGAATGATTTTGACAGACTGGAAAATTGGCGGAAAAGACAATATAATTTTTAATTAAAATGACAGACTACAACTGATGCCGTCATGGTCAGGTTGAAAGATACTGGTTTAAAAAAATCGAATTAAAAAACTGTTTTATATTTTGTTTAAGTCCTATATCATATAATGATACTTACGTGGATAAGTAAAACACTATGGAAACTGTCGCAAACATATCAACGATTTCCATTTATCTTCTTTTTTTGTTGCACACGCAGTGCTTCTACTCTATCTATCCTTGTCGAGGACCTATCGTCCACGCGCCAAATTTAAACATTAATTTTAAAAATTTAATTTGTAAAATGCATATATTTGAACAATAAATTGTTTACTGTCACAAAAATTAAATTATATAAAAAAATCATTAAGCCACTCCGTAAGAATTTCAATATTCTTAGGAAATCTAAACAGAAAGTGTGCACGCGGTTTAATGTAAATAAAAGATCAACTGAATACTTTACTTGCCTATGAAAAAATAATTCGGGAACTATATTAGAACTTCCACACACCAAACACTTTATAGTCATTTTTACGAGTATTTAGAAAGTCCAACGAAAAAAAAAAGAAATATAATTGCTCAAACTTAAAATCAACTTCTCATTGAACACACTTGCATCCTTGGCTATATAAAAGCGGTCCATAAAAGAGTAATTAATACAATTTTTAAAATAAAAAACGCAAAAACTAGCGTCGTTACACAATGAAAATAAGATCAAAGAATATACCAAGAATAAGATTATGACATATAAGTAAGACAAGATTATCAGAATATAATGACAAAGAAAAGATGGAAATATTACAATTATAGGTTTAAAAATAAACGACTAATTAGGAAATTACTTCAAAAAAGAACGTTAAATTCGATTTGCTCAAAACTACGGTTTGTGAATTAATGTAGTTTTTGCTTCTGGGGTACAGATTTGAAAAGTCTACATATAGATTTGACAAAAACCTCTTTATTAATTTAAAAGTATCAAGGTATTAATACAAAAAACTCTTTTACCTCTCAAGAAACAATTTAACAAATTTAACAGAGCCACTTAATAAGGTTAAAAAGCTTGGCAAAATTAGAAGTGACGGCAATAAGCTTAGTGTATTTAACAAACGAATTCAATTAATTTTAAAGCCATGTGTCTCATAGAACAACGACCTCATCGTTCTTTTATCTTTTCGGTCTGTTTTTATCCCTCTTTGTTTTCTATCTTCTTCTGTTCTAATCAATTTCCAAAACCTTAGCCGCTGTTTCCATCAAACCAGTAGCGTCCTATTCACTATGAACAATGGAGATTGTATCTATTAAAGTAATAAAAAGTAAATGTTGAGGTCACCTTTACTTTTTGATGCTAAGGCTAATCTTGACGGGGTCTACTTTGTTTACACGGAATCCGAACCGCGGTCCTCTGTCATGTCATTGTCAATGATGTTCACCTATCTATTCACCTGTATCGTCTAACGTCGCTTAACTTCGGTGATCTAACGGGAACCTTAAATAACTTAACCTTTTATTTTTAAGTTAACGTAGCTGGATCGTTAGCCTTTTTAATAGTCAATATATGAAATCTGGTGCTAGATCTAATTCTAGTACCAGTTTTGACTCCACCTATCATCAGAGTTGACTATTGGACAGACTAAATCGCAAGTCAAAAAAGCACAAAAACAGCACTCATTTGAAAGAGAATTTTACAAACCTCAAAGACCTATGACCCTAATATAAGTACCGTATGATCGAAAAAAAAACGGAGTTTAAGCACTAAAGTTTGATTTTTATGCATCCGTTGTTCAGGGTAGGCGACGATACGATGATACGATATTAATTTTATTAGTTGAATTTAACGAGTTTTAAGACTTCGATGGGTTAATTTTTTTTTAATCAAACACAGTTTTTAAATTTACTGCATTTTCATGCTTCCGTTCATGGGATATACGATTTGCTTGTGATTGATGTCATTTTATATTTTTTTTAAAGAGCTAGCAATATCTTCGAGAAATAATTTTAAGAAAGCTGTTTCTTTAATATATCTTTTGCTATGCTCTCCTGAACACAGTGCGGACCGTCTGGCTGCCAGTAGACGTTGCGTTCACTACTGCGTATCATATCTGTATTTAACATCTGTTCACTACTGCGCATCACAAATTCGCCCTGTATTTCAGGAACTAAGAAGGCTAGGACGAACCTATGTGTAGGATATTTAGTTTCATCAAAAAATAGAAAAGTAATGTGAAAATCGCATCATTGTACCTCTACTCATACACGAAAAATCTCATAAAACACACAGAAATGGAATACCCTGTACAGATGTGATACGCAATAGTGAACCGTAGTCTACCGGCAGCCCGACGGCCCGCACTTTGGCCAGAGAAGCATAGGAAAACATAGCAAAAAATATATTAAAGAACCAGCTTTCTTAAAATTCTCGTTTTCTCGATAGTGCTTGCTCTTGTACTCTTATATTTTTATTAAGGTTACATTATAATATAGCTCCCGTATATAGCGTTTAACGTCCTGGGAGTAGCAAGGTACAGCTTGCCATACTAGAGCCGTGCGGTATACAAGAAAGGTAATGTGGCTAGCACTACGCTTCAACCGCTTATTATTACCTCAGGATTGTGAATCCAAAGTACTCATTTAAGGCTG